TCAACTTAAAAGATAAATGTGTTAGGTCTTTTTCAGTTGCATCTTTTTTTTGGAGGGGGTGGTAAGAGTAGGCTACACGAGCCTGAAGTAATCATTGAGCTTCTTCTGTATAGGGAGACTAGCACTCTGGTAGACCTTCTAATGTTATTCCAGTGGGAACCAAGGGAAACAACATAATGTCTTTTTGTTGTCATATAAGCAAGAAGATTAATTTTATAAAATTAGTGCTATTTTCTAGAATTTCAGCTTGAGAAAATTCTTTTTGACTTGGTGTTATGTTTCTTTGGGTACCAAAATAGGTTAAGTAACTAGTAGCGTTTTAACCCTCAATTTGCAGTGAAAAAGATCAATTAATAAAAGCTTCTTTTGATAAGGAAACGCTGGTGGCATAGTGGTTAAAGAGTTCATCTTCTGACAAAAAGGTCAGCAGTTTGAATCCACCAGGCCCTCCTTGGAAACCCTATGGGGCAGTTTTACTCTGTCCTGTAGGGTCGCTATGAGTCAGAATTGACTCGACGGCAACGGAGGTTTTCGTTTTTTTGTTTTTTTGTTTTTTTGTTTTTTTTTTTGATAAATCCAGGCCAAAGTCAAGTACTGACAGAGAATAAACTATCAACCATCAGGTAAATTGTGTCATCTGTGCAGATGTTTCACCCCGGCTCTGGCTCAGTTATTTTGCTGGGATTGTAAAGCAGGAAAGCAAATATTTGTATCAGTTCCACTCCTAACTAGGTGGTCCTCCAAGTACTTCCCCATGCCTCATTTTCTTCTCTTTAAAATGAATATCATAATGAGATTGCTTTGTAAAATTGCTTTGAAGTCTTAGGAAGAAAAGCACTATGTCGTTAATCTAGGCATCAGTTTTGGCTCTGTGGCAGGTATAAAGGTAAAATTAAAAAAACTCACAGACCTTGGCCTCAAGAAACTGGTAAGAGACAGCAATCCAAGCATTCCTGAAAGCTTGAGTTAGGATACTGGCACCTGTTATATGCCAGGTACTGTGCTAGGCTCTGGGGGTACAGTGGGGTGCAGAAACAGACATGGCCCCTGCCCTTGTGGAGCGTATGGTGAGTAAATGGGTATAAGACCTATTACTGAAGTAGAATGGACTGGATTTAGTGTTAATATTAGATATAGGGAATAGGAGAAAAATTGGGAGTAGATAACTAAATTTCTAGATAAAGTTATATGAGCAGGAATTGGAAATGAGAACCAGAGTTTGAGAGAGGTTAGGATTAGTGGTAGATATTTAGGAATCATTAACCAATCCCAACAAAGAAATTTTAAAGTCATTC